ATATATATGTGTGTGTGTAGGTGTGTGTGTGTGGGTGGGTGTGGGGGTTGGGGGTGTGTGTGTGGAGTTAAAAATCTTTTTATTTGATCTATGTAAAAACAATTTTGCGCCAAGTTAAAAACGCTAGCAACTCACCAATTGCTTTCATCTGATCAAGAATCAGTTTTATTGAAAAGTCTATCATTCTGCCCTATTAACAAGATTTATGCACCGATTTACATCAATACACTCGCAGAGCTAGTCTCATGATATTCTTTGGCAACCAGAAAGGGCAGTGTTAACCACAACAATAAACCGAATGGTATGCCTATTTAACATTGAATGGAACCCAACAAAGGGAAGAATGTTTTCATCGATTTTTTTTGTCAATACGGCCAAAATGCATAGATAAATTCATCAAAGATAACATTAATTCTAAGCCATCTCACAATTTTCCGGTTGCTCAACTGAACTCAAATCGAACACAGATTATCCGACAAGCTGATAAAGGAGGCTGCGTTACCATTCTTAATAAATCTGACTACGAACCTCAACTTGTTAACCAGGAATTTTATAAAATTATCTCTGCTGATCCTACTAATATGTGTAGAGACGATCTCAATGTCGTTGTTGTTATTAATGAATTAGAACATTATAGTCACTCTGATATTGTTAATCTTATTCAATCCAATCCCAAACCTGGTCTGTTTTATACCCTCCCGAAAATTCACAAACTGCCTATTAAACTCATTGATTGTAAATTACGTTGCCTGTCTAATACTAACTACACTGATGTCAGCGCTCTTAAGCCTATTAGAATATTTAATTTATCTAAACAGCTTAATATATCATTCCCCCTGTAGACGTATCGTTTCCTGCATTGGTAATCTTACTGAACATTCATCCGGCCTTTTCGATTCCATTATTAACCCCTCACTTAGCACAAAGACCTCTGCATCTGTCAAACAGGATGCCAATAACGTTAATGACGGACAAACATTATAGTACAATGGTCAACTGTTGGATTTATCCTAGATAATTATGGTATGCTAAACTACTAAGGCTACATATATACAGTTTTAAAAACTGTGTTATTTTGAAACTTTTGAAAACTTTTGGACAATTAAGGTAGCACAAGAGTTAGTGGATCATTGCAAAGTGCCAATTTATTGTTCGTAGGTTTGCAATGTGAAGTAATAATATACATTAATGTTTGCGGTAACCACGTAGTTCTGAACAAAATTATTGTTGTTGGTTGAGAATACCTCGACGTTTCGATTAAGTTGCTTCAATCGTCTTCAGGAGAATAATATCTGCAAACATTCCAAATTAGTGAAATACTTATGTGTTTTGGGTAGTGAGACTTGCTGCTGATTTATGGAAAACTGAGACTACGTGTGAAAAGGCTAACACAAAAGCCAGTATTCACAGTCTGTGCATAAGGGTGGGCTCATCATTTTTTCCCCATACAGTTAAGGCAGAAATTATAGAGAGCGCTATTTTAGGTCAGTTAGGTCAACTGATATACATGAATATGCATGCCAGACCATCCCCTCGAGAAACAGAGTTCAGTGGTGTATCGAGTAAGCTGCAATGATTATGCATGGGTGAACGTTATGAAGTAGGCCAAAACCTCTTAAGGCTTTGGTAGTCCAGACAGTGTGAACATTAATTGGACTTATTTATAATATTATCCTTATGACTAGACACAGTTTATGTATAGCATGGTCTTTCAAAGTAAAAAAAGCACAGTAATATTGAATCTCGCTAGTTGAGTAGGCCGCGCCTACAATATATAGAATACGAGATATGACATGTCTTGTAGCAATTGTATGGTCCCTATAGTAATGATTCTGAAGGATAAAAACGTTTAGAAATGCTCAGAGACAAATTAGAAGTACTTGGGACACAGTTGCTAAACTAAAATTTTACAATTAAACATTTTTATGAGAAAAAAACTCCCTGTCAATTAACAGACATTGCGCGTATTTGCTGTTCTTTTACATGATTCATTGGCTGGTAACATAATTTAAGGATTTTTTTTGTAGAACCGTCTGTAAATTAGTGAAAGCTTTTTTAACTTCCATCTGATTTTGATCATTTTCAATAAGTTTTTGAATTTTTTAATTGGGTAGACAGCCTTTAATAACAGTAGGCCCCTACGACATATTATGTGTATAGAATATCGTCGGATTTGGTAAAATTAATGTTTATAATATATCTGCTTGCTATAATATTCTATGCCTATTTATTTATTCATATTGAATGAATTGAGTTTGTGAGAAATCAACATTAAACTTTTATACCTCCCTGATTAAAACAATACATAATCGTCTTAATACAGGATCAGGATCAGTACTACCAGGCCTATAGCTATGTATGTGCTATACTTTACGCTACTTAAATAACCGACCAGATTCAATGCTGCTTTTTATATTTTCAAAAACCATTCTGTTCGTAAGTGTGGCATAAGGCTATTATAATTGCAATACTAACAGTCCATAATTTTTACTGTGTCGACTACACTTTCTCGATCGACTACTAAGAGATTTTGGTCTACCCTACTAATTACTATACGCCGTAGCTTTCCTATTCCACAAACTGCGAGCACTGCTTTTGCGACTCGCGAGGGGAAATACAATTACATGCATATTTATAATGTCTGTTCACTTAAATGACCTTCAATAGCGCCCTCTATAATTTCAATTGTATAGGAAAAAATAATGCGGGCGACGCGTGGCTAGAAAGAAAGACAGAATTGGTGGTACTGCCTACTGTCTTGGTTAGATGATATTAGTGGTGAAACGAAGTTTGACCTCTGCCACCCCAAAGACTACTAACCATTCCCAAATGGACATTAGATACCAGTGTGTTCTAAATTTACCACACTTTTGCAAAGAAGAGTGACTACTAAATTATTATTTTTCATTACCAACTTACCAATTGAGGTGATGGAACCGAAGTTCCCAATCAGAGGATCTGCACAATTTATAACTATCTTTGGTGTTTTCCTTTACGCTTATACCGTAGAAGTCAAGCATTAGTTCCAGACTATTAATCACTCTTTTGCGGGCTTGTGCACTTAATGTTATTTTCTGGAAAAAAATAATCATTAGCAACATTTTATTGGTGGTACTGCCTAATGTCTTGGTTAGATGATATTAGTGGTGAAACGAAGTTTGACCTCTGCCACCCCAAAGACTACTAACCATTCCCAAATGGACATTAGATACCAGTGTGTTCTAAATTTACCACACTTTTGCAAAGAAGAGTGACTACTAAATTATTATTTTTCATTACCAACTTACCAATTGAGGTGATGGAACCGAAGTTCCCAATCAGAGGATCTGCACAATTTATAACTATCTTTGGTGTTTTCCTTTACGCTTATACCGTAGAAGTCAAGCATTAGTTCCAGACTATTAATCACTCTTTTGCGGGCTTGTGCACTTAATGTTATTTTCTGGAAAAAAATAATCATTAGCAACATTTTACATAATGTTAAAAAGTGTGATGTTTTAATTTTGGTATCGTAATTTTACTTTATCACTAATCTATTAAACTCACAATACCTTGCCTGTCCTTATTTAGAGACAACTTCCCAAAAACGGGTCGCCAAAACCTTTGCGTTGGGTCGTGAACAGGTTTGCAAAACATAATTCAATTTATATACTGATTTTCAGACAGTTGTGAACTTCAACAGGTCTGACGACTTAAAAACAAAATTTTGAGGTGAATTCTCATTAGAACAATTTTGCTTTTATTTGCCCACAATGAATATTCTGAAATTCACATCACTATTGTTTTTATGTTGCCGAACTATCCAATCTATATATAAAATATACTCATCTGTGCGCCCCAAAATCATGGTGGGGCTCTGGTGGATATCGTACATTTCGTATTATTCAAGTGCTATTTTCGGTATTCTGTAAGTCTCAAATTTTTAAAATGTTCTCAGGTGGATATGGTAGTTTTTGGAATTGTAAGTATTTAAGTGAAATTTTCGGGCACCTTATAATTAATTCGTCAAAAATAAGAATTAAAAGGTCTTAAGTTCCATTTCCGGACATCCGGAGGTACAAATACTGAACATTTTCTGACGTCACCGCCAATTAAGGTGGTGCTGACATCGTATGGACTCTCATTTCAACAGCACCCCCTTTCTTAAATCCTTGATACGCCGTGTAAACACAGGGTTAAAATTCAAGTTTAAGTACATCAAATATAGAATTCAAAGGTTGAAAATATTTTCTGCAAAAAAGTCGATAATATTTTTTTTCAAATAATAAGTTGTTTATTTTCCAGTTGCAGATTCAAGGCTCCACTCCCTCGCCCACTCTCCAACTAAATAAAAACTAATGGAGAAAAAATTTCATTTCCGGCCATCGACGGGTGTCTTAATCATAAAAAGCATTACCTCGCCCCAACCATGGTGAGCTGAGGTTGATAGACCCTCTATCTGTCAAAATCTCTCTTTCGGCCCTATTACAAATCCCTGTATCCACCACTGTTTTCTCAAAAGGAAGATCATTAGTAAATAAAAATCCTTGTAATACTAATGTCAATTAGTCATTTTTTAAAACATAAATCATTGCATTTTTGGGATCTTATAAAGGTCGATGTGAAATTTACTATGACATTTAATATTATGTGTCGCGGCTTGTCTGGGATATCTAAAAATAATTAGATCCCAGAGAAAAAAAAAAGTTTGGGAAGCGGGGATTTAGCGATACATGTTTTATACAAAGTTATAATAAACTTTAGTGTATTAGTTAAGTTTGGTGTAGTGCATTCATTATAAATCGTATTTCAATAGGGTGACCAATGTAGCATGAATCCTGTAATTCTTCAGCCCAGATATTGTCTTTAAGTATTATCATTATTATCACCATCATCAACATCGTCATCCAACAGTAGCAATAATAGTATTGACTGTAGTACTTGTCGTCTACAACAATGACAAACCAAAACGGAAGGGTAGGTAACCGTTGGAATAATAAGTTCGACAAAAAAAAAATGCAAAACTAACCTTGGCCTCGTGTGGCTGCAAAATTTGAGAAAAATGATTTACTCCTTGCTCTCTTATCGGGAATAACCTTAGATTAGAATAACGATAATCGCTTTAGAATGAAAAACGAAGACATAAAATCTCTCCTAATAAGAACATTGTAAAATACGTAGATCAAATAGAAAGATACGTTAACATTATTATATTGTGTTAAAAATCTAAAATTATAATGTATAAACTTACAAATGTTAATACTTGTGCTCGAATAGGTACAGGATGTTATAATGTTATCAACCGTGATACGATTATGACATCGCATGTTTCTATTCCAGCACTAGTAATATATTTTTTTATCTGTTTGTTTATATTGTGTTGTTTTTGTTCTGATATTTTCGCCTTTTCTGCCCCAGCCGGAAAGTCGATGTTTTTGCTTTAATTTTTGGTTCTGGCTTTTCTGCTATTAGTGAGAAAGTCATTGTTTTTTCTGATTTCTGTATAATAAGAATAGCATTTGTTTAATAGTTATAATATAATAAAACAATAATTCTTTACTTTCATATTTATTTCATGCTTCTTTATTTCTATGGGATGTGGGTGTAAGTTGTCTTTTCTGTATTCTATATTTATGCCTTTTTTTTTTATAGATTTCTTACCATTGGATGTAACAATGATTAGTTTCAAGTCTTTTGTAATCCCATTTCCATTCACTATGCATAATATCGATGTATTCCCCTAAAATGATATTACATAATATAATTCGACAATTTAAAAAAATTACACTGTACATTGCTTTGGTTGATCAACGCATTTGAAGCCACCCCGGGTTCTCCTAGAAATATGAATATAAAATCATGTTCATGTTTAATGTCGAACCCTAGGACATATAATAAATATTAAAAAGTCAGCTCATATATAGGACTACTTGATTGATACTAGTGAAGTGTTGAATATTGAAAAAATATATATATTTCTTTGAGAATATAAAAAAATGAGGTATGTAGTTACTTTGAAATCGGAAGGTCTACGCCCGCCGCCAAAACTCCGATTTTGAAGGTTTTGCGTACTACTAAACGTGAAAACTCCAAAATCAGAGTTTTCAAACATGTTAATCAAGCCTCCGATTTCGGAGTTTCTGCGTACTATTAATTAAAAAAGCTCTCTCCATTTAGAGAGAACAAACTTTTAATCAACTCCACGATTTCAAAGTTTCTGCGTACTATTAATTAAACAAGCTCTCTCTATATAGAGAGAGCAAATTTGTAATCAACTCTCCGACTTTTCGGAGGTTTTCGCTATACGCGAAAACTCCAATATCGGATTTTTAAACTTTTATTCAAACCTCCGATTTCAAAGTTTCTGCGTACTATATTAATTATAAACAAGCTCTCTCTATATAGCAAGAGAGCAAAACATTCGGAGTTTATGCGTAAATTAATTAAACAAACTCTCTATATAGAGAGCGGAAACGAGCATGGCAAAACTATTAATCAAACCTCCGATTTCGGAGGTTTTGCGTACATCTATACGCGAAAACTCCAAAATCAGAGTTTTCAAACTTTCAATCAAACCTCCAATTTTGGAGTTTCTGCGTACTATACGCGAAAACTCCAGATAGGAGTTTTCAAACCAACCCTATTCAGATTTCAGAGGTTTTGCGTACTAGGCCTATACGTGAAAACACCGAAACCTGAGTTTCTAACTTTTAACCAACCTTCAGGTTTGAATAAAAGTTATTGAAAACTCCAATTTTGGAGTTTTTGCGTATAGTACGCAAGACATCCAAAATCTGAGTTTTGGCAGCGGGCGCACTCTAGTGTATGGAGTAACTACATACATGGAAACATGAAAAAAATAATTAGTTTAAGCGTGTCAGTTTAAAAAAAATAATTATGCATTACGAAATAAAATGCCCAATTCACCATAAGATATGTGCTGGGAACCAAACCCAGCCAACCCTATTTCAATTGTTATGAATATTTAGATGTACCTCTAGGCTCGAATTTGATCTCATTATTGTAGAAGAACCAGTTATTTTGAAGATTTTCATCGTCCACTTCGTCGTCCTTCAAATAAAAGCACATTGCGACACAATTAAAGGTGTAAACACAATTTTGTAAATAGATACCGGGTAGGCCTAGTTAAGACATACTTAATAGCACATGTTTATATATTTATTTACTCTATACAGTAAGTTATACCAAGTACATCTTATCCATTAGTCCTAACATACTTTTTTTCAACATGTATTTTTATAATAAGTTACATCTGTTGATTCAATACAGCGTTCATATAATCAGTAAGTAGCAAATATGTGTTGATGTCTATGAGTACAAATAATATAATATCAATATTATAATCATTATATTGAATAAGTATAGGATATTAGTACTGTAGTATACTGGAAATGAATATTTAATGAGAGTATGTCTATAATAAATAAATTACGGCACTTACAGGATAACCGTTTCTGAATCTTTCACAGTCTCTGTTATATATTTGGCTTCGAAAGCCCTGTGGTAGCGAAAATAAGAATTGAACGTAGTCCATGTTAGCGCACATTCATTTAAGTTAAGCAAGTATAATTTTAAAATATCACAGCTATTTACAAAACAATTTCTTTAAGGTAACTTACTGCGGAAGGAATCAATTCAGAGTATTTCTCCTTTACTCTCACCGGCTGTTGAATCCCAGTGCCTTGGTGTCGCTCACTTACTCTTTTGTCGGTTTGAAAATCACCTAAACATTTTGAAGATATGTAACAAACTTGCTCTGAATTATCAGTATGTGAATAAATAATCTACAAATATTAAGATTCATATTTTGAAAAAAAAAGTGATAAAGTCTGTATCAGTTAATGAATGTCAAATTATATTGAGTTAGCTGCTACCGGCGCTATATCAACATCACTATATATCTGATTTTCTAGCCTATTTCTAGCCTTGTTTAAACTCGCGATATGCATCATATTGGTTGTTGCTATCTTCGTCGCGTTTTGGGTTTGACTCGAAATGTTTATAATTAGGCATAATGCCTTCCTCCTTCTTTAAATTTTCTGACATATCTTCAACTACAATTTCCGAGGTCTTCTTAGTAGTCTGTTGAGAAGAGTTTTCGCCACCTGAAATACAAGCAGTTTCGGTACAGCATCAACCAAGATTATTAAAAATGTGGAGATCAGTTTATAATTTCAGCATTGCCACAATAGTGTTTCTTTAGCCGGTACTACTCGTTCGCAAAGCATTTTAGTGATGGTTAGTGAGGCTGTACTAACCCTAACATTAAGGCTAGGCACTTTCGATTTTAAACCGCCAAAATAAATACTTTGTAAATATTATTACTTTCGGCTTCCATTTTAAAATCTATAAAACAAATTAAAAATGACATGTGACGTCTAAGAGTTAATATTATTCTTCTGTTGCTGTGTTTGGCAATTAATATGTTTACACGGTTGAAACATATCATACTAAATATAAATAGTACTATTTAAAGGACATCAATCATCTATCTCAAGGTTTCAATGCTTTACTGAACTATTTTGTACATGACAAGCTTTTCTACATTAATTTTTCTTAGTTCAATTTTTGATAGTTAGTCGAGTCAAGTGGCAGTGTAGACATCAGGCTCATGTGCACTTTAAAGAACCCATTGCATCTTTCAAAAGGGTAATGGGTAATACCCCGATGCTATGATTCATTTTAGCCCCGTTCGTTGTGGGATGATACACATGGCCGACAGAACCGCATCGGCTGCACCGGCTTTGAGAGGACCACTTTTCAAAAATTCTATTACTTTTTGAATAATTGCTATAGTTTATGTATACTAATACCATAAGGTATATGTATTTATGATCAAATTTCGCACCACATGTCTTTTCAATGTTATATATTTAAAACAAAAATCCACAATTTAATTAATATCTTTATTCAGACGACATTTTCGTCGGCGTCGGACGAGGGGTGGGGTGTCCAGATTTGCAAGTGATAGTACTCATCTAAGGGCGTGATAAATAATTTATTAATACTTCAGACCGAATTTGGCAATTACCGGCAAGTTTAATTAAAATTGTACCAGCAGGATATGTTATTCAAAACTCTACGGAATTCATAATTTGTAGGCCTACTTCATAATGTACCGTATATCATATTGCATCCTGTGAATACATAATACATGTTTTATTTAATTGCATTTGTTTATATTTCACAATACCCTGTACGTTATGTAAATATTATCATATGTGTTCAACCAAACCAAAACCAGGAATTGTACTATCATAATGTATTCGATACAATACAATTTATTTATTTCCAAAAAATTCAATAAAATACAATATAAACACATCATGATAATAAATAATTGAGATACGAATGGAGATACAACGAAAAGCAAATAGCCTGCAAAAAGTTTTACCATATTCATATAATACAATAATTAAAAAGAATAAAATTCCGTGTTCCTTGCACTTTATTTATTCATTGAGAAAAAAAATCAATTCATCTAGTGATAACAAGGATAGAAATAAAATCTTGAACAATTTATCATTTTCGCAATAGACACACTCTGTATGGTGTCTTCTTAGTAGTGGGGGTGAGCAGGGTATGAACTCTATTTCACACTAACTTTAAATTTCGTGTCTGCCAATGTACAGGAAATGCAGGATGGGGAGAGGTAGAGGCTTATGCTGGTTTGCCAGCTGATAATTCCGGGCATTCAGTGGTGCCATATAGACTCTAATTCCATGCAAACTTAAATCTTGTGGCTGTATTTTGATTTATTTGATGAGAAATGGTAGTGGCTCTACAGGTTGTCAGCATACTCTAACGGCCGAATCAATTGCAAAATGGTGTCTTCTTAGTAGTGGGGCTGAGCAGGGTATGAACTCTATTTCACACTAACTTTAAATTTCGTGTCTGCCAATGTACAGGAAATGCAGGATGGGGAGAGGTAGAGGCTTATGCTGGTTTGCCAGCTGATAATTCCGGGCATTCAGTGGTGCCATATAGACTCTAATTTCATGCAAACTTAAATCTTGTGGCTGTATTTTGATTTATTTGATGAGAAATGGTAGTGGCTCTACAGGTTGTCAGCATACTCTAACGGCCGAATCAATTGCAAAATGCGTCTGACGGTTATGATATGAACATAAAGCTACGCAATTCAACACAATGATGATGCAAGACATAGGTTAATCTCCTACCTTTACCTTTAATATACGAATACTCACGATTTTCATTTCCTGGGTTAGAGGCATAGGTATCATCTTCATTGTTGGGATGGTCGTCGCTATTCTGTACCTCTGTTGAACTACCTGCTTGTTCTTTGCCATTATTGTCTGATCTCAAACTAATTTCTTGGTCTTCGTCAATTCTATTTTGATTCCCTGCTTTTCCAGTGGAAGTAATGTCCAGTTTCAAACAGTCCGTATTAGTTTCTCGGCCTTCGTTACTTTTGTTATTCACGTTGTCAGTGTCTTGTTTAAACTCACGATTTCCATCCAATGTAGAAGAGATTTGAGTGTCGCCTTTATCAGATTGGTTGTTGCTTTCATCATCATCATCGTTTTTTGGGTTTGACTCGAAATGGCTATCATTAGGCATACTATCTTTCTCATGCTTTAAATTATCTGACATACCTTCAACTACAATTTCCGAGGTCTTAGTAGTCTGCTGAGAAGAGGTTTCTCCACCTGAAATACAAGTAGTTTTGGTACAGTAAGTTTTTCCCGCATAGGCATCGTTCCAATTACTGGGTTAATAATGTAAAAAAGCGTCCTGAGACTTTCGTTGTACAGAGCGCTATATACAAAGCTACATATTATTATTATTATTAACAAAGATTATTGAAAATGTGGAAACATCGATTAGTTTAAATTTTCAGCATTGCCACTATAGTGTATATTTAGCCGGTACCTATTCGTTCACATAGCATTTTCGTCGGTAACGCCGAGAGGCCAGGGAAACTGGGGCGAGTGCCCTGGGACCCGGGATAACTAAGTAAAAATAATAAAATAAAATAAATAAATAGCAATTATTAAACGTACACATTCATCCAGTATATTTCATGTGTTTTTCCTACGACAATTGTAAATAAAGATGACCGTCTATCAATGAAAGCTCGTAATTAATTGCTATGATTCGTTTCAGCCCCTGTTGTGTGCGATTATATTAAGGTGAAGCTACGCAATTCAACGTAATGAGGCTGCAAGATATAGGTTATTCTCCTACCTTCACATTTAATAAGCAAATCCTCACGATTTTCATTTACTGAGTTAGAGGCATGGGTATCATCTTTACTCTTGGAATGGCAGTCGCTATTCTGTACCTCTGTTGAACTACCTGCTAGTTCTTTGCAAGTATTTTCTGATCCCAGAATGTCAGTGTTAGATTCTTGATCTTCGTCACTTCTATTGTGTATTTGGTCACTCTCTTCATTAAACTTAGGATTATGATCTTCTAAATAAGAAACATGAGTGTCGTCTTTACTATAAGGATGGATGTTGCTTTTCAGTAAGCCTACCTCTTCTGTAACGTTATTATAACGTTCTTATAACGTAATATTGTTTGCTGGGTTGTCGTCAGCGTCGGACGAGGGGTGGGGTGTCCGGGTTTGAAAGTGATAGTACAACACATCTAAGGGCGTGATAAATAATCTTTTAATCCTTCAGGCCGTACAGGAAAAGGGGGGATGAGGAGGCGTGGAGGCTCATACGGGTTTGTCAGCTGATATATTCGGGCATTCAGTGGTGCCATATTTCCAAATAGATAGACTCTAACTTCATGCGAACCTAAATCTTGTGGTTGTATTTGATGGGAAGGAGTAGTGGCTCTAAAGGTTGTCAGAATCTATTTCCGGGCCTTCAGAGGCTGTTCACCAACCATAATGGGGCTGCGATGGATATGCTCTCAGACCCCACTAACTTTAAAATCCTGTGTCCGTGGTTAGGGTTAGCGGTGCAGTTTAAAAGCAAAGTGTGTTGCCGCCAAACGCCCCTCCTGCCCCCTCAGTTATTACTCTAACGGCCGAACCACTTGCAAAATGCTTCTCACGGCTATGAGAGGAACATAAATCTACGCAATTCAACACAATGATGCTGCAAAATATAGGTTAATCTCCTACCTTTACCTTTAATATGCGAATCCTCACAATTTTCATTCCCAGGGTTAGAGGCATGGGCATCATCTTCACCATTGGAATGGTAGTCTCTATTCTGTACCTCTGTTGAACTACCTGCTTCTTTGCCATTATAGTCTGATCTAATTTCTTGGTCTTCGTCAATTCTATTTTTTATTTGGTCACTGTCTTTACGATTTTCATCCTCTAAATTGGAGTTATGAGTGTCTTCTATACTATCAGGATCGGTGTTGCTATTCAGTACTTCTTCTGCACTGCCTGTTTTTCCAGTACACGTAATGTCCAGTTTCAGACAGTCTGCATTATTTTCTTGGCCTCCGTTACATTTGTTATTCTCGTTGTCAGTGTCACGATTTTCATCTAATGTAGAAGAGATATGAGTGTCGCCTTTATCAGATTGGTTGTTGCTATCATTATCGTCGTTTTGGGGGTTTGACTCGAAATGGTTATCATTAGGCATACTATCTTCCTCATGCTTTAAATTCTCTGACATATTTTCAACTACAATTTTCGAGGTCTTGCTAGTAGTCTGCTGAGAAGAGGTTTCTTCACCTGAAATACAAGCAGTTTTCGTACAGTATTAATAAAGATTATTGAAAATGTTTCGATCAGTTTATAATTTTCTTCATTGGAACAATAGTGTTTATTTAGCCGGTACCTATTCGTTCAACAAAGCCTTTTTGTAAAGATTAGTGAGGCTGTACTCCAACCCTAACATTAAGGCTAACAGAAATGACATGTAACTTCTGAGAGTAAATATTAATCTTCTGTTGCTGTATTTTGGCATTTGAAACGTTTACAACGTGGTTCAAACATGTCATGCTAAATATAAATAGTACTTTTTAAAGGACATAGAGATTTTATTTGTTTTATTTTATTTTAAGTTCCAAAACACCACAATTCACTAAGCCAAGCCTGATGGATTGCCTAAAAAGCCAAAGCTTATTGAGATGCTCTCCAAATGTGCTTTACAGACAAAACCAACATTATATAACATTTGTTTTAATTTAAAAAAAACTTCAAAAGAAGAATCTAAATATATTAATCATCTACCTCAGGGATTTAATGTTTTACTAAACGATTTTTACATGACAAGCTTTCCTACGTTAATTGTGCTTAGTTAAGTTTTTGAGAGTCGATTCAAGTGGCAATTTTCAGTAGAGTAGGGGTAATACCTCGATGGTATGATTAATTTCAGCCACTGTCGTTGTGGGATGATATGAACATGAAGCTACGGAATTCAACACATTGACGCTGCAAGACTCGGGTTCTCCTACCTTTACCTTTAGTACGCGAATCCTCAATATTTTCATCCATTGGGTTAGAGGCATCATCTTCACCGATAGGTTGGCAGCCGCTAATCGATACCTCTGTTAAAATACTTGCTTGTTCCTTGCCAGTATTGTCTGATCCCAGAGAGTCCATGTTAGATTCTTGGTCTTCGTTGTTTCTATTATTCATTTGGTCATTAAACCCTGCACAATTTGCATCCTTTAAGTAAGAAACATGAGTGTCTTCTTGGCTATCAGGATGGATGTTGCTACTGCCTACATTTTCTGTGCCAGCAATGTCCAGTTTCAGAGAGTCCAAATTAGTTTCTGGGCCTTCGTTACTTTTGTTGTTCATGTTGTCAGTGTCTTGTTTAAAGTCACGATTTTCATCCAATGGAAAAGTGATTTGAGTGTCGCCTTCATTAGGTTGGTTGTTGCTATCATCATCGTTTTTTGGGTGGGCATCGGAATGGTTACCATAAGGCATACTATCTTTTTCATGCTTTAAGTTCTCTGATGTATCTTTAACTACAATTTCCGAGGTCTTGCTAGTAGCCTGATCAGAAGAGGTTTCTCCACCTGAAATACAAGCAGTGTTGGTATTAACAAAGATTATATAAAATTTGAAAACTTTGGTCATTATTTCGGCATTTCAGCATTTCCACAATAGAGTTCATTTAGTCGATACCTATTCGTTCACAAAGCATTTTCGTGATGATTAGTTAGACCATACTCCAACCCAAACATTAAAGCTAGGCAAATTCGAGTTTAAGCGAGAAAAATAAACACTATCATTTACTGTAGACCTGTATTTTAAAATCTATAAAAAAAAAATTAGAGAGTTAATATTTTATTTATGTTGCTGTATCTGGCAATTAATACTTTTTATAACATGGTTCAAATATGTCATGCTAAATATATACAGTACTATTTAAAGGAAATAAAGATTAATCAATTATCTCAAGGATTCAATGTTTTACTGAACGATTCTGTACATGACAATTTTTGAGAGGCGAGTGGCAGTGTACACATCTGGCTCATGTGCACTTTAAATAACCCCTTGCATCTTTCAGAAAAGTAAGAGGTTGCACTTTCAGAAGTGTACTACCTCGATGATATGATTCATTTCAGCCCCTGTCGTTGTGGGATGATATGAACAAGACGCTACGCAATTCAACACAATATAACAACTTTTTTAATCAGCTGCACACGTTATGCCGTGCGTTCACGATAAAACTATAAAACCACAGACTAAAAAAGATTTCCTGAGATAAACAGTAACAAGTGCTTTCTTCAAGATTTATTGTACAACTCGTGTTCTAACAGGGAAAATCCACTACATCTTATATCATAAATTCCTGGATTCAGTACATCCGAGATATTTATAACTACTATTTCATCTGCGAGTGCTTCTTCATCCATTTTGCCTAAAGTTCGCCAGTATTATAATACTGTTAAGTTCATTCTTTTACGATCGTTTGTACTAGAGAAATTTCATTCAAAGTTGGAAGTTTCAATGCGTAAATTTTGTCGTTCTTTTTATGCACCCCCTTAAAATAATCTTTTAAAAAATCCTTATTGTTAGGCCTCCATTTCTTCGTTTTCTCTTTCAATACGTGTTTCCATTCCTTTTTTTTATTTCTCTCATTACATTACGGTGTTTAATTGTTCCATAGTCTAGCACGTTCATCTGATGATAAGCTTTTGGCAATTACAATTAAGGACCACATAATCAAAATTTATTTTGTCTCCAATACGACCATTAAAATTCCCCATGATGAGTATAAAAAGGTTCATTCTTACCATCATTTTCAATTTTTAAAACTTCAGATTAAAGCTTGGTATGTAGTTCATCAGCCAGGGAAGAATTGGGACCTCGTTTACCGGAAAGTACGTGGCAACTACATAGTGCTTGTTAGTGCCTGATAGGTTGGGTTACAATGTTAACCCAGAAAAGTTCACAGTCATCGTTCCTTGAATCAAATAGATTTTCATTTACAGTTTGCACACCTTCCTTAATAAATAAGCCTACACCACCGCCGTTCATACCAATGGAAACTTCGATCAGTTTAAAAAAATGCCTCAAGAGATTATAATCTATAAATATCAGGCACTATTTATTTAGCCGGTAGTATATCTATTTTGTTTACAAAGCATTTTCGTAATGATTAGTGAGGGTGCACTCCAACCCCTTGAGGATAGGCAAATTCGGGTTTAAGCCGGTAAAATAATTACTTTGTAAATAATATTATTTGTTATTACCGTGGAACAGAGATCTACTATAAAACTCTCTTATTTCACACGCCCTATATTAAGATTTAAAACGAGAAGACAGGATCTTCGAAGGTACACTCCGATAATTTATTGTAAATTTTCTCACGGAAGTCGGTGCCGATGTGTGTCACTATGCCTATTTAACATGTGACGGGGGCAGCCGGCCTGGGCCCATGAATATTTTAAAATCATTAGAAAAAAATGGGATAGAACAAAATTATATTCAAATTTAAGTGTGAGGGGGCCATTTCCGGCCATGTAGAGGTGCCTAAATCATAAATTTACTTACCTCATCTCCAACCATGGTGGAGCTGAGGTGTCGACCCTCCATCTATAAAAGTTTCTCCCTGCACCCCCCCCCCCCCCCCCCCCTCAACTCGCCACAGCGGATCTCCCAGAAATGAATTTCTCCAGCTTGGGACCTCTGGAATACTAATTTGTTTGTAAGAATTACTAATTCGTTTGAACAAAGTACTAATTCGTTAAAACGTGTGGAACGCTGGGCGTGCAGAAAGGACAACCTTCATTCAGCAGTGACTAGATTTATGAGCAGTGAATTCTTTTTTTAACGTTTTTAATCAAATGTTATGTTATGCTGCAGTGAACATGTTTTTATTGTGTGCATTAAAGTCTTTTTTTTTATTATGCAGTTTTAACCAACTTACTGCTGTATAGTGACCATTTTGTTTTGCTGCAGTGATCCTCTTAAATCCAAAAGTGTTTTTTCACGTGACCGAGTTTGTAAATTTGCCTTGATACACACGGTTGTACCAATAAGTCTAGTACCAATTCATTTAATATGGCGGACGTGTTTAAATGATATTCTATGAAGTTTTTCGCTTTAAACGTTCTCGATGCATTTATAAGAGCAAGGCCTTAATAAACGGAAAGCTAAATATCGTGAGCTGGCGGCAAAGGTGTATCCCGTACTTCAATGTGGACATGTTTGGAGATTACAGCTGAGCTGGTGATGGTGGTGGTGGCGGTGACGATGACGATAATGATGATGATCAAGATGATGACAATGGTGATAATACATTATGATGATGATGGTGATGTTGTTGATGATGATAATGGTGGTGGTGGTGGTGACGATGAAGATGATGATATTTTTTTGGTTGATGAAGCAGCATAAATTTGAATTAGTAACCCGTTCAAACGAATTAGTAATCACGGATTAGTAATCCGTTTGAACGGATCAGGCCTCAGATCCGTTCACATAAATTAGTAATCTGTTCAAACGAACTAACAATCCATTCAAACGAATTCGAAATCCGTTCAAACTAATTCAAAATCCGTTCAACCGAATTAGTAATTCGTTCAAAATAATTAGTAATTTTAGGCCTACTTACACCTACGTTTCCTTTCATCGAGAGACTGCAACATTCTAAAATATTCAAGAGACTACGACGAGAAACTAATGAACTCGAAACTTTATGAATAAAATGGTGTTTGTTATTACTATTATTAATATATTGTTTAGGATCTAAAAAAATAAATTTATACGTAAGGCTTTCAGGAATGAGAGTTCATTCAAGATCTTAGAGCCTGCAAAACTACCTGAAGGGTAAGGACGATACAAAGAACCTACCTTCTCAAAAGAGATCGCTGATGAATGAACAAAATAATCTACAGATAAATCATATCGAAACTAACCCAATCAACCAAAAGTTAGAAATACCTTAAAAAGAAGAAGCAACAAGTCTACACCTATGGCCCAGATCGGATAATTTACGACCTCATGAGGAAGCTTCCAAGCACACACCATATTAGCCACCATCTACAACAAAAATATGCTGCATTCCCGAGCATCTTCTTCTTAATGGATCGAAAGCAATATCAAATGTATTTACAAAAAAAAGCGAAATGACACTCAATGTAATTTTCGCATGGAACCTCTGACGTCATGTACCGGGAGGAATTGTTTATACTTATGGTGGATGTCATCACTTCAAAATGTTTACCAATGCGTGGTAAACGCGTTTTCTTCACATACTCGCAAGGACGTCCGAACGTCAAGACGAAAAGTCCTAACGTCATGTCCAAACTACATAACGTCGTGTCAAAACCACATAACGTCATGTCAAAACCACATAACGTCATGTCCAAACCACATAAAATGTCCAAACCACATAACGCCATGTCCAAAACCACATAACGCCATGTCCAAACAACATAACGTCATGTCAAAACCACATAACGTCATGTCCAAGCCACATAACACCATGTCCAAACACGACATAACGTCATGACCAAACCACATAACATCATGACCAAACAACATAACGTCATGACGATTGCTGAAAACCGAAGATACAAACGGCATTATTATTCAGGGCCGGCGGAACGTTTTTCAAAGTGGGGGCCCACTTATAAGAAGGCGAGTAACAGGGGTCTTGGGTCGGGGGAGAGTAAAGGAATAATTTTCCCGCTTAGTAATTTATGACTTGGTGTGATACCCCCCACCCCATATAGAAAACAATATGACATAGGACATAGGGCTTATTTTATTATTAATATAGGGCACACACGTGTGTTTGAAAATAAATATAAGCATTTTCATCGTGGTTTTATTTATTACAATCATAGGCCTATTCTTTCACCATCATTACGCATTGAGGCCCTTCTTTTAGGTAAAACGATCTATCTTAAATTTTCCTTCTCAAGTTTGGGACTATTGTGATTTTAATTAACTTAGAAGGTATAAAGGAGGGCAAGCACAAGCTTTAACCCTAACAAATGCGCGCAAAATCTGTGTTCTTAATTCTAATTTCGTCGGAATTGATCAAAACTCCCTAAATGTGCAATTTTTAGAGGAAATTTGCCTACCTCAACAAGAAATGCTCTTATGTTATATATGGCCACACTCGTTTTTTTTTAAACTGAATATAAGCATTTTCCTTATGGCTTTATTTATTACAAGCATATTCTTTCAACATCATTACACATTGAGTCCCTTCTTTTAGGAAAAACGATCTATCTTAAATTTTCTTTCTTGAGTTTGGGAATATGTGTTATAACTTCGAAGGCAAAAGAGAGCAAGCACAAGTTTGAAGAATAAAAAAATGGGCGAAGCGCGCGAAAAATATTTGGTTTTTTTTAACTCTAATTTCGTCGGAATTGATCAAACTCCCTAATGCAATTTTTAGAGGAAATTGGCCTACCTCAATAAGAAATGCTCTTATGTTATATATGGCCATTATATATGACCATTCCGGGGTATTGTGATATCTGTTCATTATATCTTCCTTTTTATTCTTGTCTTTATTCTTCTCTTTTTCAAAATTCCTCCCCCGGGAAAATTTTGATTTCTAGATGGCGGGAAATGAGCTTTCCCGACTTCTGACGTGTCTTTAATTACTTTTAAGTTCTTAAAAAATTAAAGGTTTTCCACTCTTCAAAACGGTCAGGTAATTTTTTTCCCATTGTTATTACGTTAAATAGGGCTTATGTGTGTATACATACATAACAATTTTTAAAAAATGAGTAGGTGCATACGAATTTTCCATGAACCTCCCATGAATCGATGAATCCCAAAAAGAAAGGGGGGTCCGGAGGTTCTTCCCCAGGAACATTTTGATTCCTAGAAGGCGGGAAATGAGCTTTCCCGACTTCTGAGGTGTCTTTTAAATTAAAGTCCTTAAAAAATACTTCAGAAGTCGGGAAATCTCATTGTCCACCATTTAGAAATCAACATTTCCCCGGAAAGAACTCGAACTTCCCTTTCTCTGGGTTCATTGATTCATTATAATAATTTTCAAGAGGGGAACACCTTGAATTTTGAAGAACTTGAAAGTAATTAAGTTCTTCAAAATTCAAGGTTTTCCACACTTGAAAACGGTCAGATAATTTTTTCCCTTTGTTAATACAGTAAATTGGCCTTATGTGTGTATACATACATAAAAAAAGATTGAGTAAGTTGCATAAGTAGTTTTTCATGAATCGATAAATCCCAAAAAGAAAGGGTGGGGGGGAGGTCCTGTGGTTCTTCCCCGGGAAAATGTTGATTCCTAGGTGTCAGGAAATCAGCTTTCCCGACTTCTGTGGTGTCTTTTAATGACTTTTAAATTCTTCAAAATTCAAGGTCCCCCCACCCCCTTGAAAATGATTCAATTAATCAATGCACTCCAAAGATAAAGGGGGTCCGGGTTCCCCCGGAAAAATTTTGATTTCTAGATGGCGGGAGATGAGCTTTTCGACTTCTGAAATGCCTTTTAATGACTTTTAAAGTTATACAAAATTCTAGGTTTTCCCCTCTTGAAAAAGGTCAGGTAAAGTTTTCTTATTTTTTATTTTATGTGTGTATACATACATAAACAAATGAGTAGTTGCATGCGTATTCTTTTTTCCATGAATCGATAAATCCCAAAAAGAAAGGGTGGTCCGGGGGTTCTCTCCCGGGAAAATTTTGATTCCTAGATGGCAGGAATTGAGCTTTCCCGACATTTGAAGTGTGTTTCAAAATTCTAATTTTCTAATAGCAACAAACAAAAAAAAGGGAAAAAAATCAGCTCACGGGTCCTGAAAAAATAGGTTTAGAATTCTTTTCTTTTTACCCTTTTGTTGTTGCCCAAGGGAGGGGTCAGGATCCATGACCCCCCTCCCCCAGTTCCGCCAATGTGAATTGCGAGAAAATGTAACTTACTGGATAAACATTCTCTTTCCCATCCTTCTCCTCCTTCTCCCCTTCTTCTTTTTTTGCATTTCCGATCATACAAAAATCTCCAGACATTACATATTTTTTTCCCAAAAAGTGGGGGGCCCGGGCCCCCCGGCACCCCCCGCTTCCGTCGGCCATGATTAATTGTAATAGGCCTACGTATTATTAGAGAGATTTCGCAACCTTACAAAAAACGATACCATTATCATCATTCTTGACTCAAACATTCCTGACAATATGCTATACGAACTGAATATGATCCTTGATTCATGGAAAAGACATGAGCCTACATTGTGACAGATACGCTACTGCAGAGGAAGGGTTGTCTAAAAATTTGATGACGTAACCGTATTCGTTATCGCTTTCATAACAAACTTTCGAAAACTCCCTACTATAGTAATAAGTACGTACTGTACATGATAGTCCCTCTGGTCTAGTCTTTGTACCGATAAATTTTGATTGCTGTCAGTGGTGCCCCGGGACCCTAGTCCAAAGGGACTCATGAATGCTTTATGTGGACTCGCATGACAACACTTCCCTTTAATACAAAATATCAATTCCTGACCCAATGTTCCTAATATCCAACATAAGCCTAATAAAGTTTAAGGGCTGCTAGAATTCACAGAGAATTCAGTCAGTGGCGTATCTTAGGCGTACGCCTCAACCCTGTTGCTTTGTGGTCTAGACCCCCGGTATTCAACCCCTGGCCCGCGGGCCAACTACGGCCCGCCGAAGACTTTGATCCGGCCCGCACAACATTGCTAAAATAATCATTTTCCGGCCGACTTTTAGATAAATTTATTCTGTTTATAAGCACATCTACTCTAGCATTTTGTTTGCAAGAGTGTGGCTTTTCTGGGTGTAGCGCACTGTATAGTGGCGTAGCGTATTGACATTGGCAGGGCGGGGGGGGGGACACTTATTGGGATAATGGATTAAGTGGCGCGCTCAAATGATGCGATGTCTAACCATTTGCGGCACCAGCAGGCTCGGGGGCATGTAATTCTATTGAAAACACCGCTTTGAAAACTTATTTTTGAGTATGAAGTTGCCATTTCCAGGAATCTAGAGATCTATGTTAAAAATTTGCTCACCTCAACGCCAACCACTGGTGAGTGGATATTTGTGTGGTAGAAAAATTTCTAGTGGCATTTCAACATTCCTCCCCCGGGAAAATTTCGATTTCTAGGTGGCGGGAAATGAGCTTTCCCGACATCTGACGTGTCTTTAATTACTTTTAAGTTCTTAAAAAAATTTAAGGTTTTCCACTCTTCAAAACGGTCAGGTAATTTTTTTCCCATTGTTAT